GCCCGTTTTAGCAAAAAATGGGCCATTTTTTGCTCATTTTTGGCCGTAATTCTCACCCAGGAGCACTCTGCCCGCCCCCCCAAGGCTATTCATGCCTTTATGGATGGGAAAAACAGGCCCATTTTGATGAAAAACAGGCCGTTTTGGGGAGGTTTGCAGATTGCAAAATCTTTTTTTTTTAATCTTTTAGAAAGCTCTTTAACTGATTGATGAGAATTACATTGATCAAGTGCTATGCCAGCAGAAACACCTACCTATCTACTGTATTTCTCTCTCTCTCTCTCTCTCTATCCATTTATCTACCTACCTACATAACTATTCTCTCTCTCCCTACCTACCTACTGTATTTCTCTCTCTTTCTCTCCCTGTCTATCCGTCTATCTACCTACCTACTTTTCTTTTAAATTTGCCTCTTCAAAACCTTGGTGCGTCTTATACTCTGCTGCGTCTTATACTCCAAAAATACAGTATTTTGACATGTAAAGCTTTTTTTGGCTATGCAGCTTTCTATTCTCCATCCACCTTTCTTTATTTTACCATAGGGTTGAATGTAAATTCAGTAAAATATGTAGCTTGCTAACCAATTTCATATTTTGTGCCAGCAATATTCGCAGTAATGGTTGCATGTTTTTTCTTCTCTCTGACTTTTCTCCTAATTGAGCTTTGGAAAGATAAGCTTGAACTCAAAGACAAAGAAGTGGTTCCTTGGTTATCTGTTTTAAAAAAAAGGATATAGTAAATCATCATCATACTCTCTTTTCAGCAAATTGAGAATATACAGAAAATCATTTTGTCGCATGATACTATAAACATAGCAAAGGTAAACAAGTGATTACAAACTTTTGAAATACCAATTATAACATTTCAATTAAACCACCACATGATCCTTCTGCAGTGTAAACATACACTCCTGCCTAAACATATACTGGCAATGTGGTATAATGTTTCAGATTTATTTCAAGAGTGGCATTTTAAAATGACAGGGAGTACAAAAGCAACTCTTGCTTGCAAATCATTAAAACATCACCTGTTCCTTGGGTTTCTGCTGCAGTTAAATGAACCTGAAAGCAGATGCAGTTGTTTTAATGAACCAGTCAAGTTCTATGACTACATTTCTTTATGTCCAAAGCAGTTGTTATATAGAGAATACCACAGTGGTTGGTTATGACCGGTATGCCTGTTCTGGTACGGTGCTCCAGAGGGCCCGCCCGCCATCCTTACCTGTATTTGAGCTCTTTGGAGCATGCAGCGCCTGCGTGATGCTTCGCCGAGCTGCTGAAGCGTCGCGGAGCATCACAGACAATAAGTACACATGTGCGTGCTGCGCGGATGTGCGTATACGCTGCATGCTTTCATTGCACCGTACCAGTTGCACCGGGATCTGGAACCCACCACTGGAATACCAACACTGCATGGTCCCAATATGGAAGTAGCTTGATAAGAACTTAAAATCTTTTCCTGTGCCCCTACCAAATTCCCTGTGCCTTTTTAAAAAAAAATAGAGAGAATATAGAGAAGCAGCATGACCCAGAATGGAATTATATCTGGAGGTCCATTATCTAATCATGCATGTGATATTGCCAGGACTGAATAGAATACGTAATATCTGAACTGCTCATAAGTTGCTTGTTAAATCCAAAATATAAGGTTTCTGTAATATGGTAGCTTACCTCCCTCATTAGGCAAGGATGGCATTATCTCTGGGATGCTGTAATCAGAGAGCTACACACAGTCAAGGAATTTAAGAGGCTTTCCAAGCCAATCTTCTTTTCATACCATTTCAGTTCAAGATTGAAGCAAAACCCAGATTTAAGAGTGGGGGACCCAGAGCTGCCTGTATTTAAGTAGAAAAATGTACCAATTACAAAGCATTCATTGCAGATCAGTTTTCAGGATTCAGATTTTCAGAAAATTTCTTGGAAGACATCTTAAAATTTGATAAAGGGACAGATGAAGAATAGGGTTTTTTTTAATTTATTTATCTCATTTGCAGTAAACTCTGACATAATCTTATAGAGAGACTCTAATCGGGGGAAGAGAACTTTTGAATTTAAGCCAAATGCATTTACATTTCCTTATGACATTATTAGGCAGAAAAGATTTAAAAAACCACTATAGTGACTGTTATGTTAGATCCAAATCCTGAATTTTTAATAATTTAAAATGAAACATGTGAGTATATCATGGTTGGCTTTAAGGCTAAAGAAAAAACACTATATCCATGTAAGGCGAGGATCCGAAAAACCATATGAAATTATATCAGACATATCAAGTCACAAACCTACAATTAGTTCTTAATCTTTCACAAGAAAATCAACCACCAGATGACACTTAGAAACTCAAGCATTGTATTTTTCATCCTGTTCTGATATTTATTTTGAAGCAACATCCAACCTTGTGTTCTCTGTTAACGCAAGCTGGTATTTATCTAAAAGTATATGGGCTAAATACATATTTTAAAATAGCACAGAACAGCCATATTTGTCAATTCTCAAAGGAACCTATGTTGTTTAAAAAAGCAGGAACAATTTCCCACCAAAACATTTTGAGGTTTTCTTTATTGTATTCTTTTTTCTTTTTCTTTTTTTTTACTTTTTATTGGTTCTTGCTACTTTTTTTAAGTTTAAGTTTGAATTAGATTGTTCTTTACTATTGTAATCAAAACCTTTCATTTTAAAAAATGCATAAAAGAGAAAGAGAAACATACATGACTTTCAGGCTGTTGTCTCCCTACTCACACTATTTCTTGATGCATCATGACTAAAATTGGCTTTGGCATCTTAATCCATCCTACATATCCCAAATTTGAAAATGGGGTTATTAGGACAAAAACAAACTCTAAACAAAATTAAAATCATGTTTCAAAGGATCTGCATACTTGCTTTCACTAATTTAGGATATATAGGGGTCAAGAGAGCAAAATATTTATACAATCTGGAGAGAAACCAGAATAGGTATACTAAAAAGTTAAATCCTTAGAAGATGGGGGGGGGGGGAACTATACTCAAACTATAAATGATGTCAGAGATAAGCTAACAAATTTTTAGAAAATGGCAAATTCTGTCAATCAGCAAATGCCACATTATCTGCAAGAGCCAAGGTGGCGCAGTGGTTAAATGCAGCACTGCAGGCTACTGCTAGATCAGCAGGTCAGCGGTTCAAATCTCACCGGCTCAGGGTTGACTCAGCCTTCCATCCTTCCGAGGTGGGTAAAATGAGGACCCAGATTGTTGGGGGCAATATGCTGACTCTCTGTAAACCGCTTAGAGAGGCCTGAAAGGCCTATGAAGCGGTATATAAGTCTACTGCTATTGCTAATATTGCTATTGCTAATATCTCTTCCTTTGAGAAGAAAAAATGGACACAGTTCATGAACAATGCCCTTTCAAACAGGGGTGGGATCCTATTGGTTTAACAACCGGTTCGCTGAATGCGCCCTTCACACACGTGTGCAGTTTACAGATAAATCATCATTACTGCTGGGGAGGAAAATAGCTGAGGTGCGCCAATCCACTCTGCTGCACCTATTAGCTGGGCTTCAGAAAAGGGAATATAGGTGAGTATAGCGCAGGGGTGGGCAGCCGGACCCAGCTGAAAGTCAGAGGGAACCAGTTCGCTCCCAGCTGATAGATTGAGCTACTAGTTCGCCCGAAACAGTCCAACCCCTACTTTCAAATATGTTTAAAATGAGATGCACTTGGAATATATTTGTAGTTAAGGTGGGTTTTTTTTCTAAATCTTTATTTATTTGTGGGGTCCTTTTTTTCTTCATGTGTAATGAGTTGTTCATTTTTATTTTATATATGTTTGTCTGAAAATTTCAAAGGAAAAAGAACAAGTCAGGAGGCAATGTCCCAAAATGCTTGCTTCCCTCTCCCTCTCTCCCTCTCCCTCCCTCTCCCTCTCACACACACACCATCTTCCAGTAATTATATCCTGTATGCCTTTGAGAAACCTAATAATTTGCCTCTAATTAGGCTTCCCTGACTTCCTCCTTCTGACTTTCTAGTCCTTTGCAATTGTTCCAAGCCAGGAAGGACCATTTGTCTTCTCGCTGTGTTTAAAAATACAGAAGGGAATCAAAACACAAAGCCTAGAAAAAAAGCAGCCCCCTAACCGTCCTCCCACCCACAGACATTATGAGCAGCTGTTCTTTCTACTCAGGGTGCAAAGGCTGTTTTGTGCTTAACTGGAAATTTCTTGAGTTGCTTGGTGGCTGCTGAATGGAGCAATCCCAGATCCAAGTAAACAAATGATTGAATTGCTGGATCACTTTGCTTCATTACTTCCTCCTTCAGCAGGAGTTATAGACAAGGATGGTACAGTTGTCCTTGTTTAGAGACTACAACTGGTACTAGCAGCTCAGTTGTTAAACAAAGCATTCACTTCCTTCACTTCCTGGTGAGTTACAAGTTGGCCCACTGAAAAGCTTTGGAGACAGTGGGCTGAAAAGAGTGGGAGATGTGGAGCATCAGTTCACATGACTAGGACAATGACTGGGTTAGAAATAAATGTAATTTAGGAGAAGCAGCTGCTGTCTCATGGTAAGGTGTGAAAGCTGCACAAGTCCCTTCTTTGTTTACTGACTGGCTGCTGAGGAGAAGATGAGGGTCAAATTGCCCTCTCCCTGCCTGACAGGCATCTATGGAGAATATGTGTAAAAAAAGTGTCAAGATGGTGAACCTGACCACAGAATGTACCCCACCTAAAAAGCTGAGCTTTGATCACCCAGTTGTAACTCCCATCTGTACTTTTTTTACATAGAGAAACAGACACACACTCTTCTGCAGTCACCCTTGGAAGAAGATGAATCCCATAGATCATGGTGGGTGGGTATTCTGGGAAGGGAAGATCACACACCTTAAAATTGCTCAGGTGGTAGAAATACTGCCACAAACCAAATGAAGCACATGACCAGGGCACAAGGACAAATTCTAATTGTCATCAAAATGGCAAGAAGGCTTCTTAGGAATGAAGTAGTAGCTGCTGCTAGAGCTGGGAAACAAGGGGAATGGTGGCAATAAGAGCCCCTCAGGACTATAACAATAGGCTTGGTAGTGGCTTGATATCTCCTTTACGTCATTTCAAACCAACCTAACAGAACCTCAGTGAAGCAACTGATGGATACCCATTTCTTCAGATAAAATATAAAACAGCTTTCTTTTTTTTGTTTTAACAAGCCAGGTTCTCCACTTGCAAAGAAGTGCAAGTGAAGGTGGCGCAGTGGTTAGGGTGCAGTACTGCAGGCCACTTCAGCTGACTGTGATCTGCAGTTCA